TCATCGACGTCGACTCCAGTCATAACATGGTCTGAAAGTACGAGCTGTTCTCTTAAAACATATCATTTACCGGATGTAGTATGTGTAACTCCATTACGAAGGCTTTCTGTTGAAATAGTCAAGCTAAACTGAACAGTAAATCTTGAAGTCCATTTTCTACGCAACATTAGATGCATTTTAAAATTATTAATAAAACGGAGAAAGCTAGATAGACTACTACTACTACTGGTTCCTCTTTTGAGTCAACCCTGTTGTCCGTGGTTTGTGCTTTGCCCCAATGTTCTTTAATCTGCCATTTAGACTAAAAAAATTTGTTTAGGGTTATCGGATCATGATCACGTATTTTCCTGGCTATAAACATCCTGTCATCGGACCTGAAGTAAGTGCGTCACTAGATCAACAGCACTTGTGCAGATAGCGGCATCGAGGTGAATTTGAGTGAAGTAGTCGCACATCCACCACCTGCTTTCAACCTTCAACTCTCACTGATGTAATGAGGTTCTGGTGAAACTATTAGCCAAAGTTGACTTGGTTGTTTGCATTTTAGCCTTACAAAGGTTGGTCATCGAACAGGTCATGGCACTAAGCGCGCACTCGCTCCGAGTGTCTTGGAACAAACCCAGATACGTGGGAGGCATTCTGGGATGGTTCACCGTCTCCATTAGGCCCTACATTCAAGGCTCTGGCACCAAGCCAGAGTGGCGGCATGTGGCCAACGTAAACGCAGACTCTGGATCTCACTGGATCTCCGGCTTGGAGCCCGACACGCGCTACGAAGTCACTGTTCGTGGTTACGTCCTGCCCAACGATGAGGGACAGGGCGGAGGCTACAACGAATACGCCTTACCCAAAATTGGTTTAACGTGGCCTTCCGGTAGGTGAAGCAAATTTGCACCTTCCAAACTGTCGGTAGTTAATCGGCTGGCAACCATGTACACCGTGAAGCCTTGTTGGTTAAATGTACAGAAGTAGCGCAATGCTCTTGTGTCGATACTGAAGAATGCAAGAAGTCGTGGTTTGTCGAATGCACGGTTTGAGCTCAATTGTTCAGTGTGGAATTGGGGGTGCACTCCGTTTAATTGATTTCTCACTGTTTATTTCATGAGGTTAGATAACTTTTCGGTTGTGTGGTGGCCACCAGCACAAGTCAAGTGTGAACAAACACCGATCTGTTTATCGTTATATCATCGTGAAGCCGTGATTGAACTTTAGCTCTCCTCTGAACAGAGGAACGCCTTGTCGTTAATAGTTGGGCATAAGGCCAGCAAACAAACCTGTTGAAATATCATTGAAAATGAATGATCGACTATGGCTTGCGTCAAAGTAAACGCTATCCAGCTCTATGCACTAATCGTCCAAGCTTCTCTCGACAATCCAGTTGCGGTTTTTCTGGTTTCTGTGGTTTGATCAAATTAAGCATTCGCAAGAAGTGGTTATAGATCTTCTAACTGAATCCTTTTGCGAGAAATGCATATTTATGGCAAAAATCTTGAGCCGAGCCCGGACTAAGTGCTAGCACTCACCCGTTAAGAAACCTAGGTTGGGCTGCTGTTCCCATCAAGCATCCACGTTACTAGAGTGAAACTGAGGAGAATAACATGTCAACTGTGAATTTTGAATATGCTTTTGATTATGTATATTATAAACAAGAACACAAATCGGAAGAAATGCAAAGTTTTGGCATCAAAACATCGCAAAAACGTATTTTCTGGATAAAAATAAATTTGCGTTTACACTGAAGATGCTGTTGCACATTTAGGTGTTATGTAAATTAGGCTGTTGCAACCTTTTTAGTGCTAAACTTAGTACTGATTTCACAAATTTAGGTGCTTTCATTTCTTAATCTTTTATGCTGTCAAACACTGCCTATTTGCAACTGCATTTAGCTCGTAGATGCATGCAACTCACAACTCGTTAACTTGAGAAGTAATTTCAAACCGGACATTTCAACACCACTTCATGGATTTTACTCAATATTTCTTTCATCACGTGTCTGTAGTCCCTGGTGTTCCGGCGAACTTTCAACGTTCTGAACCAGCATCCGGTCCAAGGCAGACTACAGCCAAACCAAACGGCGACACCGCCAACATCACCGCTTACGTGACAGCAAAGGAGGCGAACCCGGAGGAACCCAGTGTGACGCACGCTGCCAAGACGCATGCTAATTCGTCCGTTGAAATCAAGCCATACGCACGCAACTTTACAGATGTTCGTGCTGCTACTGCAGCCAATGAACACGATCAAGGAGGTGAAATCGGTCAACTTCGCGCAACAAAGCCAATGACGACCAATGAAACTGGTAAATTGTGCTTGAAAATGTTTTGACTTGATAGGTTTGGCGAAGTTTACCTCTGACACTTAGCCTCAGCAATCGATTGTTCTACCTTTATAATTTAGCATCCACTCGTAATACTGCCAAACAGCACTTGGTACGTTAACACGGTACCACTAACGAAACATGTGTACTGATTTGATTTGTAGTGGCCAGAGATTTAACCCTATCTTAAAACCCTCTAGTTAACAGCCCGTAACAACCCTAGAATGGAGTGAAGAGTGGCGACAGAAAATACGACCGTTTATTAGAGTCACGCCAGTCAAGTGTCTGTCTGTGTGTGTGGATGAGTTAACGGATGACAGGCATCGGATATAGTAACCAATGAAAAGGGGGTGAGTCATTGTCACCGTCAGGTCAGTAAACAGTGTTCACTTAGGCGCGATCGCTGTTAATCCGCCATACATTTACACATGATAACTACACACAGAGAGAGGGGCGAATTGCCTAAACGCAGCAATTTTTGTACTGGCCAAGTGACGTCATTGCAGATCAAAATGTAAGCAAGTTTTTATTAATGGAATTGAACGGACTTGACCTGCCGAAAACGTGAAACAGCAAGCCTACGCATGCAAACCAAACCACGTGCTCTTCTGATCCTTTTTCGAGTTGCATCTGGCACATTTATTATTTAAGGACACCTTAATGATTTACTCACACTTTAACGTATTGAGTGACCAAAGATGCGAGGCGTCAGTCTCTCATACACGTGTTCTTATCCTTTCGCTAAACCATTGCCAGGTGATGCAAATGCCAACACAAGACTGTCGTCTGGAGCGACTGCTGGAATTGTCATTGCGTGTTTAGTAGCCGTGGCAGTTGTGGTCACTGCCATTGTACTCACAGTTCGAAAAGCACAAAAGAAGTTCATCATCGACGCCGATGTCTACTACAACGGGATCGTTAACGAGTAAGTTAAAGCGTGTATAAATGATTTCTGTCCTGTGCGATGGTGAGCGATTGCAACCCTCTTGCCAAAGATTACAATTTGGACTGTAGAGTGTAGACTAGCATTTACCTGGCATGGAGTAGGAGGCATTTGTAGAAAGGCGTTAGCTGCCCCTGTGTGGTTATTTCTCTCACAGGCGTGCCTCAAACTTGCAGTGCGTCTCCGCAGGTCAACTCTTGCTCCAAGCTGCATATTTTTGAGTGGGCT